AAGCTTGTGACATCTCTTTCTAAGAACTAATCTAAGCTTGTGACATCTCTTTCTAAATAAGATGAATAGTCAGTACTTGTATTTTCCCTCTTCCATAGGGTGAGTCCAATTTTTTTCCCCTTAGGCTTACTCTATACTTGGAAGACAATATTGTAGTGCTTTCAAAATATTAACAATGAATAAAAACCTATTTTGAAATAAACAGCTATTACAAGTAGTATTGAGTAATACAACTACCAGGCAAACTGCTAGTCACTGCTAAAAACTAGCCTCAATGCTTAGAGTATATTAGCCTCTTAATAAAGGTCCAACCATAACAAAGTTCTTTTATTATTAATATTTTTGCTACCACTTTGAAAAGTAAAATATCTTTTCGAAGGTATTTGGAAGTTTTAGAGCATTTGTATACTCACAAGATGAGTTTGACATCTATGAAGTCTAGCATTTAAAAATGAGACTATAACTGACATCTCTGAAAATTAAAACAAGTAATCCAAGAGAAAAGTTCAAATATACGTTTGCTTTGCCACATAACTACTTCACTGCTGGTGGATACATGAAAGAGGAACCCATACTATCCTGGCTGATGCCAAGCTCCCAGGAATTAGTGGGATGTAGTGCTGGACATGACGTTGCCTTGAGTACATGACAGTCAGCCCCTAACCAGGCTCTGATTCACAAGCCTAGGAGGTACTTGTTTTAAGTCCTTGGGTAAGATTTGAACTTGTGGTAATTGGGCCATTTTTTGTCAAATGTCTCCAATGTTTTTTTCTGTCCCAGTCTTGTTTGACTTGGTGTTGTTGTTTAAAAAAAAAAACACAAAAAAAACCCCCAAAACACGGTAGAATGGGCAGCCAGAGCTGCTGATCGTCTTGAGAGGATTTAGTGTTTCAGTGTCCAGTGTGTGTGTGTGACAGGGCTTAGGAGCGACCACAACGGAAAGGTACTCTTTTGTTTTTTCCTTACAGAGCGGTAGGCAGAGTCTGGAGCTGGAGTTGGCTGTCATGTCCAAGTGTGTCTGCTTTTTAATGTTTTGTTCATTGATTCTGAAATTGCAAGAGTAAGATGACCTGCAGTGTAAGATGGGCTGTTTGAATATATTCCAGTCACAACACTACTTCTTTTCGATGTGAACATCAATAATTTGTTGTATGTTTCACTCCTCCTAAAGATATGTTATCTTACAGCATCAGCGATTATATTCAATATATGACTAAAAAACAAATCAGCAAATGGAGTCCATCTTTGCTTCATTCCATTTTACTCAAAGCCTATTAAAAATTGAGTAATTTGTAGCCAATGCTTTCTTGCTTATAGATTCAAAATGACTTAAAGCGAATAGTCGTATATTACGCATATCCATACGTTCATATAGTTTTCTTATAAAAATTAATATGCTGATATGTACTCATTTCAACATTAAGACTGTAAATAAAGTACATAATGGAAGTATAAAACTATAAGGCTCAATTTAAAAATTGTTAAGATTTTATTTCATAATCTAAATTAAAATTAATAATAATCAAAAGTACGATATAATTCAGATCCCATTTTCCTATTAATACCATGAGCAGGCAACTCCAGCCATGTATTGTAATATATTTAAGAAGTATTTTTTTTATATGTGTAAAAGTAAAATTGTGACACTTCACTTATTCTGGTTCCTGCACTGAGGCAACTATAGTGATGGGAGACATTTCTTTATACATGGGAAGTAATATGCTACTTATTTTAAAACAAAAACTGGACTAAAATCCCTGTATCTCAAGAAGCACGAATATTGGAATTATTTTTACACAACGTTACTTTTTGAAATGGCAGGATAGACAATGTTTAGGAGCTTCATGTGCATGAAATTAAACTTTACAGAATACTTGGTAAGAGTTGTTACTGGACGTACGTTAAATCATTTCTTCTAAAATCCACATAACAAGAATATGAAACCCTGTACCGTATGGTTTATAAACGAGAGAAATTTTTTCTTTTAATTCTGTTTTTATACTTTATTCACTCAGTATTCAATTGCTTCTTTGCAATGTCTTGGGAAGAACTTGAGTCTCCTGTCACTATACTTACACACAAACGTCCTGAGAGACTGCCTGCTAACTCCCGTCGGTCTCTGCACTCACAGCGGTGGTTGTTTGCTTAACTAAAGCAATGTGTCGATCAATGGTTAAAGCTTTTATTACACAGTGATTCCGTTCTGCCACTATGACCAAAGTGTCTGACTGCTGATCAAATTCTCTGTATTCGTTTCACCTTTTCCCCCAAATCTCTGTTAGGTTCTGAGCTCATGCCCAAAGCGCTCTCCACCAGGATAGTGGGAGGCATTTGGTGGTTTTTCACACTTATCATCATTTCTTCGTACACTGCTAACTTAGCCGCCTTTCTGACAGTGGAGCGGATGGAATCCCCTATTGACTCTGCCGATGATTTAGCTAAACAAACCAAGATAGAGTACGGCGCAGTCGAGGATGGTGCAACCATGACCTTTTTCAAGGTAAGCCCTACTGGTTATCTAAAATGAATGTGTTAACATGATAGAGGGTGAACAAAGAAATATTTCTCTAGTAATGAATGTAGGAGGATAGCAACACTGTTATTCATAAAGAGCAATCAATAGCTTATCCCTCAGGAATGGACAGGTACACAACAAAATATACACCCATTAAAGCAAAACATTACAATACTGCAAATGGCAAGGAGTTTTTGCTTTCTAGGTATTCTAATTTTGTTTGGAGGAAAATCTACCCAAAGGTAAGTCTCTCCTACCCTCTCCCACAAGGTTTTATCTTCAAATATAAAACAAATAATGTGATGCATTTATTGAAAATTGGTATGTCTTGGTTATTCCAGAAGAATAGAATGATTACATGTGAGACTGTTTCCATACATACATTTCTTTGTTGAGATGAGACAAAGTTTACTTGTTCAAAAGCCTAAAGAAAAAGAAGGAAAAGAAGGGCTGAAAGAGAAAATCAGAAACAGTTCTTGTTGGTTGTACATTCATCCATTTAACATTCTGGTGGCACGGAGTCTGAAAATGGGCTACCCACTGGACTTTCAATGTTTCCACAGGGACAATCCTGCGGAACATTCAAATGGAAGGTGTGGCTGAACAAAGAGTGCCTTGTTTTCCTCTTTATCATTTTTTCTACTTTCAACAACTGATCTCGCTGGGCCAGAACAGACCAAATTTAATTTTGTGACGCCTTCACTGTTCACACAAATGCAATTGCAGTCCAAATAAACAAGTAGTAGAGTAGATTTAAAAAAAAAATAATTGACTCAAACTATAAAATAATTTCCTCTATCATTAAGAGCCTATTGAGTGTCAGAAATTGCACTATATGTTGGCTATTCTACAGCAAATAGTATCTAGTTCTCACTTTCAAGGCGATTATAGCTTAATTGGGCATTTGGAAAACTATTCCCACAATCATAAATCTGGGTTTTATATTACTTAAAACGGCATTTTTGCCAAATAATTATGTAAATTTTTGGTAAAAATTCTTACAAAACTAAATCAGCTTTTAGTTTAGAGTTCTAAAAGACACTACATACCCAAGGAATTAGACAAATTTTATTTTTTCGTCAAATGTACATAATGCTTACAATTTAATTATTTTCAAAGTGAATCTGTCATCTGGCTAGTGAAAGGTTAACATCTGTGGTGCCCGGGCAGGCTAAATAGCAATCACTGATGGTGATTAAAGAACATTGTATTTATTTAAAGAAATGGGATGGGAGATTGGGATAACCAAAGGGAAGGGGCTGCCCAGAGAAAAGGGAGCCTTGGAGAAAGGTCCAGGGGTTAGCCCAGGTCTAGCTGCTGCTGCCCATTGCTCCTCTGGTTGCAGTCTCACGGGGTCCCTTAGGGGGGAGAGGATACATGCCTGTGGGGGAAGAGAAGGGAAAGGGGAATGGCTCCATGTGCTCCTTGGAGGGAGAGCTTGAACTGAGTCCCTTGTCCTGAGCATATATCCCCCTCTCTCTTGCAAATAGAAATATTAGGGGAGGTATCAGGGAAGGGTCGCAACAGAATATTCGTCGGCTTTGCAGGTGTGCTCTTTCAGGGTCATGGTCTCCACTGATTGGTGGCAGCTAGGGCACCACCTGTCTGGTTTTGCTGCTTTTTGGGCCTGGAGCTGAAATACAACTGAGGCCCAGAGGTTCTCTTTAGGGAGGAAAGAGGCAGGGGGTCTAGACCTCCTGACCATGGATATGAAAGATCAGGGGTCCAAACCTCATTCTAGGGGAGGATAGGTTACCCTTGAAAGCAAGGTTCTTGTTTTCCCAGTTTTTGCCCCTTGGCAGGCATCTGGGGCTTTCTGTCCTGGTGAGTTTCTGTACCTGGCCCATGGTCCTTGCTCTGAGGGGTCTAACAGCTAGATTAAAGCTTGGATGTGTATTTTATATTTAATCAGATGTGTATTTTATATTTATATTTAATGTAACTAAATACGATCAGTATTTATCTGACTATATTAATTGCAATAAATCAGTTTTCCCTAATTTAACATTTAGGATAAATAAAGATTACTTATAATTTTTTGAAAAATAAGTCAACTGTTGAAAATGCTAAATACACATTGTGAGTAAATAACTTTGCAGAGAGTGAATATGTATGTGATGCATTTAAATTATTACAGTATTCAAGGGACTGTTGCAATTGTTTGTAAAATAGTGCATGTGATCTAATACCAAAAGTGATTAATTCTGTGTCACAAGTGCTTCAGGGTTTTAACCTTATTTGTGTTTTGCAGAAGACTAGACTATCTCATGTTCAAGTTCTTATAGACTACAAAGTAGCTTTATTTCTAGAAAATCAATTTGAAAACAAGTTATCCTTTCTCATTATAAAATTTCATTTTTTATCTTTTTAGTTTTTCCAGTATTTTGTTATCTTTTATTTTTTTTAAGCTCAGTTGTTCTCTGCAGTGTCATTTTTGCCTACCTTCACTTCTCCTTGTTATTGACTTTACTGGTTACTCTTTCATCTCTTGTTTTTCTTTCTCACACACCAGGATGCTCCTAGCGCCCAGGAAAAATTCACATGAAACAATTTGATGTTTCCTACAGCATAGGCTTTCTTGTTGTAGAATGAAAGCTTCTAGAATGTACGCTAGTCATAATAAAAACCACATTGTGCTAAATCACTAACTTGACAACTACCTTATGTTGATAACTTTATCACATGCTGAATTCTTATTGTAAAAGATACATTAAATGATGACTTTTCTTTAGTTATTTTAGTGTAGACCTAAATGGTACTAATTTCAACTTTATATTGTGGCTTGTTAAAGTATATGCTTATATAGTCAATGGGTATAAAATTATTTTTAAATTCTCTGGAAATCTGTAACTGAAGCAATGGCATACTAATTTTGAAACTCCTTAGCCTATTTGGCTCAGTGGACAGAGCATTGGCCTGAGGACACGAGGGCCTGGGTCCAATTCCTGTCAAGGGCACACATACCTTAGTTGCAGGCTCTTCCTAGGCCTGGACCCTGGCCGGGGTGCCTGCAAGAGGCAACCAATTGATGTATTTTTCTCACATTGTTATTTCTCTCTGTCTTTCCACTCTTCCACTCTCCCTAAAAACTAATGGGAAAATATCCTTGGATGGGGATTTAAAAAAAAAAAAAAGAAGAAGAAGAAGAAACTCTTCAATAAACCAGGGATGATAGTGTGTAGTCTCTTTATATTTAACATCATTTTTTAATTTTTTTTTTTAATTAATAGCAATGAGTACAAATACTCCAGGAAACATCATTAAAGCATTCATTTCTAAAGGAATTTTCATTGTTTTATTACTAATTTAACAAGACCCTACAGATAGCTAATTGTTTTTGGAATGCTCAGTTCTAGAATACTGTTTCAAAGAATAGTATAGTTTTGTTATTACAAGCAAGAAAGGCTGGCTCAGGATACTTGTTCTTGGAGGGAGTAAGTCCTCAGTACAGCACAGTCAGGTATATTGCCATTCTTCAATGTTAAGTAATTCCTTTTCCAAAGAACATGTTTGACTATAGTCATTGATTTTACGAGTATATTGTCTCCAAAAAGGGCTCTTTCTCCTTCACATCTACACCACACATATTTATCCAAGAAATACATCTAAAACCACAACTGGTAAAATAGCTCAAAATTGAGCAGATGATAATTTTTCAGTATTATTTCATTTAAACAATAGAAAACTGTATGGCAGCACTAATATGTTCTTAATTATAATTAGATAGTCAATTAGCTAGGAGCCTGAGAAACTTATTTAAAAAAAAACACACACACACACACACACTTGAAACCTACATAATCTTATTAACCAATGTCACCACAATAAATTTAATAAAATAAATAAATAAATGTAAAAAATTACAATGAAGAGAATAAAAAGACAATACTTACACTTGAGAGAAGATGTTTGCAAGACATGATCTTTAAAGGACTAGTATCTATAATATATAAGGACTCCTACTAAACAAAATGACTAAATATTTTAATATGCATTTTATGGAGTGAGGCAATATATATAAACTATGAACTTATGAAAATATCTTTAACCTCATAAATAAGGAGGAAATTAAAAACTGAAATCAGAATAAGATTGTGATTAGTTAGCAAACAGATCAGCACAAGTGAAAATGGTCTTTCTATACAAAGTGCTGGCAAGGGTGAGAAATATTTGGCACTTTGATATACTGCTGATATGAGGATAACTTTGGAAAATGTCTGGCACTACCTAATATATTTGAAAATGTCTTAACCTTTCAAAAACAAATAAAAGAATAAAGAAAAACTAAGGAGAAATCAAAACCCTCCAGGAATTTGGGAACTTGGCATTGTAGAATTAAAATCTCACCCCAGGGCAGAACACTATACAGAATGTTGTCAAGCAAACAAGCACATTCTTTTTACCCTAAAGTATGAAGTCAGAAGAATGAATACATATAGATTACAGGCTCAAAAATAACTCAGCTAGAGCCGATAAACATTTTGGTCTCTTTTGAGAATCCCTATATTTCCAAAGTGGGTCAGACATTTTACAAGCTGATGCCTAATCCCCTTTTTATTATGCAACTCATGTTTTCCAAGTTCTATAGCTTCTCTCCTGAGCTTGGCCTAACTAAAATTTCTAGTTTTTCCCATGTACAAATATAGTCTTCTAAAAAAAGATGGTATCAAAGGAAATACATGTTTTTTTGTAGTTATTAAAAAATGTCTGTCACATATTAAAATGGCATTTAAGTGGTATCAAATATCTAATGTAAATCACTTAATACTTCTGAAAACACAGAGTCTACAATTTTGAATACTTATTGGGAATAATTTTAAACACACACACACACACACACACACACACACACACACACACACACATAACTGTAAAAAGAGAAACCTGAACTTAATTCCAAGCTCTACCACCTATTGGTGTATATAGATAGGACATTCAGATTTGTAAACCTATGACTCTTCATTTCTAAATTGGAATGACTAACA